CCCTCCTTCCCCCTACCTCCTGCCTTCCCTCAAACCATTGTCTTGTTGTTGGCTCTTTCCACCTCTGTTGCAACTCTCTTGGTCCTTCCACCGCCCTCAACTTTCGTGATGGGCGGAGGAACTAACTAATGAGGGGAGGAGAAAGGAGAAAAGAAGGAGGAAAGGGTAGAGAGGCGTTTGATATACCCAGAGGAGGTAAGGGGAATGTTTTATTTTTTTTCTTTCATTTTGTTGACGTATCGACAGGTGTCATCTATTCCCCACGACACACACACACACACACACACACACTCCTCTCTCTCTCTCTGTCTCTCTCTCTCTCTCTCTCTCTCTCTCTCTCTCATCTGATGCTCGAGAAGAAAACATTGGTAGCATCTGCGTTAGGCGCCGAGAATGTCTGCCGAGAAGAGGGAGAGGAAGACAGAGGTGGAGAAGAAAAGGAGAAGAAGATAAGATGGAGAGGGAAGAAAAAAAAGGGAAGATGGAATTCATTATCCTCCTCCCTTCTCCTCCTCATTCATCATCATCATCACTATTTTTACCACTATCACCATCACCCTCGTCATTATCATTATCACCCCTACCCCCCTACCCCCCCTCCCCCCTACCCCTCCTTCCTCGTCTCCCTCGACTAAATACGGTCTAATGGTCATACGGTTTCGGCCCCCAAAAAGGTAATAATCTTCTTTTCTTTCTTTTTTAATTTTGCTTTCATTTTCTCTCTTTCTCTCTTTTTCTTTCTTTATTTTCTTTCTTTCATTATTTTTTTTCCTCACTACATAACACTGGAGAGTTCATTTACAATATATTGGGATTATTTCGGTTTGGTGATAAGAGGGTCGTTTGGTGGTCGTTTGGTGGTCGTGGTTGTGGTCGTTTGGGTGGTCGTTTGGTGGTCGTTTGGTGGTCGTAGTTGTGGTCGTTTGGTGTCGTTTGGTGGTCGTTTGGTGGTCGTTGGTGGTCGTGGTTTGTGGTCGTTTGTGGTCGTTTGGTGGTCGTTTGGTGGTCGTAGTTGTGGTCGTGGTTATGTGTTATATCTGTGGTTGTAGTGAGGTTAACAAAACAGGTAATGCATCAGAGTAATAATAATAATATACTGACACAACTCAACCTCCCCTCACCCTCCTCTCCCCCCTCCTCTCCCTCACCCCTCCTCTCCCCCTCACCCCCCTCCTTAAGGTGGACGTCTTAACTGGCAACACTGATCTCTCGCTCAATTGGAATCAACAAAAATAGGAAAAAATAGAGGAACGAAATTGCAGCGTGGCTCTCGCCTATTTTACTCCTATCACCCTTCCTCGCGCGTGTGTGTGTGTGTGTGTGTGTGTGTGTGTGTGTGTGTGTGTGTGTTCTTGGAAAATCTCTCTTTCCTGGCAAAAAACTCAGAGGAACTTGAGTCGATGCTGAAACTCCTTTGTGGAAGCTCGTCAGGTGTGTCAGTGGGTTCTTCGTCTTAGAAGTTAGCCAGCTGAGAGGCTCTGGTTAAGCCGTGATTAATATATGGGATAATAACCACATTGAAGGAGGGAGGGAAAGGAGGGAAGGGAGGGAGGAGAGAGGTGTGAGCTAAAATATCTGGAGAGGAGAGCGCGGGTGAGGAAGGTTCGGGTCGTGAGTACTGTACAATCCAGCTGCCATTGTTGTCTCTCGTCTTTGATCCATCGCTGGCCATTGAGGCGTCGCCGGGGCGCTTACACGGGTCTTCAAACTTGACGCCCGTATGGTGACTCCGCGGCGCCAGTTGTTTTAGTGATTCATTTGGGTCTTTTTTGTCTGATTAATTCGGAGGTTTTGTGATTAATTCGGGTTTTTGTGATTAATTCGGTTTTTGTGATTAATTCGGGTCTTTCTTTTTCTTTTTACTTTAATATAGACAACTTTTAGGAAGCAGTTAAGGGGTAGGTTAGGTTTGGTTGGGTTAGGTTGGGTTAGGTTAGGTTAGGTTGGCGTGGGAGATGGGAGGAGGGTAATAGGCTGGTGACATTTGCGGGTGGTAAAATAGAGCACAGGGATCCCGGGTGAGCACCACAGGTAATGGGGGCGTGTCCATCTCGTGGTCGGATGTGACGTCGTGAGGGATGTTGTGATGATTTGGCTTTGATTCTTGACGTCATAACAGGTGGCAAAACTCTCTCTCTCTCTCTCTCTCTCTCTCTCTCTCTCTCTCTCTCTCTCTCTCTCTCTCTTTAACTTCGTTGTTGTTAAGGAAAGTTTAGTGTGTTTGTTCGGTGGTGATTTTATGTAAACAAATAAACTAAATTACAAGGATTTAAACAAGAACATTAACAAGATAATTTAACCAGTATGTATGTATGTATGTATGTATGTATGTATGTATGTATGTATGTATGTATGTAATTGTTTAGTCAGCTACAACATCAACTGGGCCTCAGCAAGTTTGTTTTGATAGAGGCGCAACATTGTGACTAGAGGAGTGTGTGTGTGTGTGTGTGTGTGTGTGTGTGTGTGTGTGTGTGTGTGTGTGTGTTTGTGTGTGTGTGTGTGTGTGTGTTATTACTGTTTATGATGGAATATATATTTGAAACACTCTTAAATGTGTCTAGTATAATGATCTTGAGAGAGACACACCCACACCCCTGCCTCCCTCTCCTTGCCCCTCCTCCCTCATACTGCCTCCTCCCTCATACCGTTACCTGACACTGAGGGCTGAGAGAAGGTAGATGGAAGAGAGAGTGAATGACAGAAGAGGAAGAAGAGGGAGAGTAAGATGAAAAAACAGAGACAGACACAGACAGACAGACAGACCAATTGGGAAGTAACGAAAGAGGCAAAAGATAATAAGAACGACAGACATAATGGAAGATGAATCAAACGGGATAAGAGAAATGAATAAGAGAAAAGGTTAAATAACGAGTGAGAACGTATAGAAGACAGACAGACAGACAGACAGACAGACAGGCAGACAGACAGACAGGCAGACACCCTTCTCATAAAGAAACTTCTTACCTGTTAATGAGTGTCTCACCTGTTCTACTCTTTTTAAACTCTTCCACACACCCTGTTATCACCCTTCCTCTTCCCCCTTTTCACCTCCTCCCTTTCACCCCTTCCTCCCCTTGTCACCCCTTCCTCCCCTTTTCACCCCCTCCTCCCCTTTACCCCTTCCTCCCCTTGTCACCCCTTCCTCCTTTTCACCCCTTCCTCCTTTTCACCTTCCAACCCCTTGTCACCCCCCTCTCCTCTTCTCACCCCTCCTCCTCCCCCTACAGGTACTAACCAAGGTATGCTCAGGTAGGTGTTAAGGTGAGAAGTAGTGGATGGTGGTGATTGGCGTGGGGTGGTGTGTCTTATGTGTGTTTGAACTCAGGTGATTGGTGGGTCAGGGTGGTGATTAGTGGGACAGGGTTGGTGATTAGTGGGTCAGGGGTGATTTAATTGGTGAGGTGGGGTGATTAGTGGGTCAGGGAAGATTGTTGAGTTAGGGTGGTGATTGGTGAGTCGGGGGTGGGTGATTGGTGGGTCGGTGGGTGATTGGTGGGTCGAAGTGGAGTGGATTAGTGGGTCAGGAGGGTGATTGTTGGGACAGGGTTGGGTGATTGGTGGGTCAGGGGTTGGGTGATTGGTGGGACGGGGTTGGGTGATTGGTGGGTCAGGTGGGTGATTAGTGGGTCGGGGTGGGTGATTAGGTGGGTCAGGAGGTGATTGTTGGGGATGAGGGTGGGTGATGGTGGAGCAGAATTGGGTGGATTGGTGGGTAGGGTTGGGTGATTAGTGGGTCAGGAGGGTGATTGTTGGGACAGGATTAGGGTGATTGGTGGGTCGGGGGTGGGTGATTGGTGGGTCGGGGTGGGTGATTGGTGGGTCGGTGGGTGATTAGTGGGTCAGGAGGGTGATTGTTGGGACGGGGTGGGTGATTGGTGGGTCGGGGGTGGGTGATTAGTGGGTCAGGAGATTGGACAGAATTGGGTGATTGGTTGGTGCCGGTGGGTGATTGGTTTGGTCAGGGGTGGGTGATTAGTGGGTGGGGAGGTTGATTGTTGGGTCGGGGGTGGGTGATTGGTGGGTCAGGGGGGTGATTGGTGGAGTCAGAGGTTATTGATTGGTGGGACAGGAATTGGGTGGTTCGTGGGTCAGGGGGTGATTGGGTGGTCGGGTGGTGGGGTCAGGGTGGGTGTTTGATAGGTTCGGTTTGGTTTGTATCTAAGCCTCCAGTACACATGGAAACAACTCTGACCTTATCTGTACTCTACCTGCTTCACTTCCTCAACTGTAAAATTAGATGCCCATTCACAGCCAGTTTGACCTGGTGCCCCAGGGATCGAACTAGCGACCCCTAGGACAAGAAAGCAGTGCAGTACCACTAGGCCACAACACCCTATACATGTAATAAATTACTAAATGTTTATTCATTGGATCTATTTGACCGGGAAATACCTATTGATTTATTTTCCAGACATTGACGAGATTATAAAGGGGGTATTAACTCTGATTTGTTGTTGATTACCGTAAATTGACCCCAAAAGTTTGATTTTCGGAATAATTAGAAGAATTTTAAATATAAGCTCAAAATTGAGTTGTATTTATTGTATGTTTTTATTATTTTTGGTAATATATTAAATAACTCCAGGAAAGATTTTTAATTCGAGCAAAAAAAAACAAAAAAAATTAAGATTTTTAATTTCAACAAAAAATTCACAACAACAGTGGTAGAGATTTATTTATTTATGTAACAATTCTTTTTTTGTTTATATTTTTGCGGTAACAGGTTGTACTCAGGTGGGCGGATGTACGTAATGGCACCGTAAAGTTAATGACTGATTTAGTACGACAGGTAGAGAGGTGTACACCTACAGGAAAACCCAATCCTACCGGCCAGATAACCCTACACCGGCCAGACCCTACAGTGGCCAGATCAGCGAACCCTACACCGGCAGGCCATTCTACACCGGCCAGGGCATCCCTACTACCAGCCAGGCCAGCCCTACCAGCCAGGCCAACCCCGTAGGCCAACCCTACTTCAACCGAGCCAACTTCACCAGCAGGCCAGCCCTACACTGGCCAGGCCAACCTACACCGGCCAGGCAGCCCCACCAGCCAGGCCATCTACCGGCCCAGGCCAACCTACACCAGCCAGGCCAGCCTGCACAGGCCAACCCTACACCAGCCAGGCCAATCCTACACCGGCCAGACCTACACCAGCCAGGCCAACCCCTACCGGCAGGCCAGCCTCACCAGCCAGGCCAACCTACACCGGCCAGGCCAGCCCCTACCAGCAGGCCCAGCCCTACACCAGGCAGGCCAGCCTACACCGGCCAGGCCAGCCTACACCAGCCAGGCCAGCCTACACAGAGCCAACCCTACAGGCCAGCCTACACCGTGGCCAGCCTACAGGCCACCCTACGCCGGCCAGGCCAGCCCCTACACCATGGGCCAGCTGCCTGAGCCCAACCCTACACGGCCAGGCCAGCCCTACCAGCCAGGTGGCCTACACCAGCCAGGCCAGCCTACCGGCAGGCCAGCCCTACACCAGCAGGCCAGCCCTACACGGCCAGGCCAGCCCTACCGGCCAGGCCAGCCTGCAGGACACAGGCCAGGCCAGCTACAGGCCAGCCCTACACCGGCCAGGCCAACCCTACACCAGCCAGGCCCAGCCTACAGGCCAGGCCAGCCCCTACACACCGGCCAGGCCAGCCTACCACCGGCCAGGCCAGCAGCAGGCCAACCCTACACCGGCCACCAGCCTACAGCCAGGCCAGCCCTACACCAGCCAGGCCAGCCCCTGGCAGGCCGCCTACACCGGAGGCCAGCCTCACCAGCCAGGCCAGCCCTACACCGGCCGGCCAGCCCCTACCGGCCAGGCCACTCTACAGCCAGCCCTACATACATTGTTTTATTTATTGGATGATTTAGTTTAACAAAAGTGTGAGAGTTAATTATTTATTTATTTATTTATTTATTTGTTAATTTATTTGTTGTCTGTCTGTCTGTCTGTCTGTATGTCTGTCTGTCACCCAGTACCCTTCACCAGTACCCCTTCACAGTAGGTTCAGCTAGTACCTTCACAGTACCCTCATTCCAGCTGTTCGCCAGTACCTTCTGAGTGCCCCTTCACAGTGCCTGCTTGTGCCCCCTTCACCAGTGCCCCTCCCAGTACTTCAGCAGTGTGCCTTCACAGTGCCCTTCACCAGTGCCCCTTCACAGTACCCCCTTCACGATTGCCTTACCAGTACCCCTTCATCCAGCCAACAGTGCCCTTCACGGTGCCCTCCTACTGGTACCTTCACAGTACCCCTTAGTGCCCCTTCCTTGTGCCCTTCACCAGTACCCCCTTCACGTGCCCTTTCACCAGTGCCCTTCAACGGTACCCCCTTCTTAATTTTGTCACCAGTGCCTTCTGGTGCCCTTCTTAGTGCCCAGCACCAGTGCCTCACCAGTTACCTTCAGCAGTTGCCCTTCACCAGTACCCTCATGCAGTACCCCCTTCAGGTACCCTTCACAGTACCCCTCATCAGTACTTCCTTTCACCAGTGCCCTTCACCAGTACCCTTCACCCATTACTTCACAGTGCCCTTCTTAGTGCCCCTTCACAGTGCCCTTCACCCAGTGCCCTTCAACCTGCCCTTCACAGTACCTTTACCAGTGCCCTTTTCACCAGTACCCCTTCACTGGCCCCTTCACTGATGCCCTTTCACCAGTACCCTTCACTCAGTACCTTCACCAGTGCCCCCACCAGTACCTTCACCCATGCCCCTTCACCAGTACCCTTCACCAGTTCAGCACCCCCTTCACCAGTGCCCTTTCTGGTACCCTTCAGTGTACCCCTTCACCCAGTCCCCCTTACAGTACCCCCTTCTGTACCCCTTCAGCAATGCCTTCACCAGTACCTTCAACAGTACCCCTTCTTGGTACCCCTTCACAGTACCCCCTTACAGTACCCCTTCACCAGGTACCCTTGTTATGAGCGACAATAAGGGTTGTTAGTACAGGGGATAAATACCTATAGTCTGTATATATTGTCAATTTGTGCCGTGATGTGACCAGCTTCCACCTACATGATTTGTGATTTTTATTATCTTTTTCGTATTTTTAGTTTTTGCATATATAATTTTTTCCGTTTTTTTATTTGCTCGTTATTTTTAATTATTTTCAGGGATTTTAAGGGGTTTTATTTATTTATTTTTTTAGTTATTTTATTTGTGTTTTATTTTTTAATCTGTTATTTTAGGTTACGGTTTTTCTGTTTTATTTATTCGGTGTTTTTTATATATTTTAGTGTGTTTTATGTATTTGGGCCTTTGGGGGTAGAGAGTGTAAATATGGTGTGTAAATTGGTGTTGGAGTGTAGTCATGGAAGTGTAAATAGAGTCTTAAGTATAAATAGAATGTGTAAATAGGTTGTAGAGTGTAAATGGACTCTTGGAGTGTAAATAGACTATTGGAAGTGTAAATATGGTGTAAATAAGATTGTAGGAGTGTAAATATAGTCTGGAGTGTAAATAGATGAGAGTGTAAATAGACTGGAAGTGTAAATATAGTTGTGTAAATAGGGTGTAGGGAGTGTAAATAGGGTTACGCAAGGGGTGTAGGCCTGACCCTCCTCACTTTACTTGACCTCTGATCACCTGTGGTTGTGTGAGGTATAAACGATATTAATGGATCACAGGTGGTAGTGATGTTTACTGATACTGTACGGTCAGGACAGTAGGGAAAGGAGGGAGGAGTGGGGAGAATATTGGGAAGGAAAGGGAATAAATGGGAAAGAGGAGGGAAGAAAGATTATCAGGAGAATGTTTTAGTCTGTTTTGTCACACACACACACACACACACACACACACACACACACACACACACACACACACACACACACACTCTCTCTCTCTCTCTCTCTCTCTCTCTCTCTCTCTCTCTCTCTCTCTCTCTCTCTCTCTCTGTACATAAACCACTTACCCCAACACTTCCAGGACAGAGAGATCACCTGGCTCTCGTAAGGTCAGGTACACACCAGGTAAATATCGTCGCTTTGATAAACAAGGTAACCCGCCGGGGTCTGTGTGTACGTCTGTGTGTACGTCTGTGTGCGCGTCTGTGTGTACGTCTGTCCGTATGATTCTCTTCCTGTTGTTCTCCTTAACCCCTTGAGTACGATTATTTAACCTCTTGAGTACGATGATTTAACCTCTTGAGTACGATGATTTAACCCCTTGAGTAAGAGGTTAAGGCATCGTACTCAGTGGGTTAAGTCATGCTCAAACGTTTTCATCGTGCTCAAGGTGTTAGGTCATCGTACTCCAGGGGTCAAATCCTCGTGCTAGAGGGATCAAGTCATTGTACTCTAGGGTCGAGTCATCGTACTCAAGGGTTAATAATCGTACTCAAGAATTAAGGATTAAGGCATTGTATTCAAGGCTTTAAGACCTCTTAATCTATGGACTAATTCATCTTATTGAAAGGTTAAAAACATTTACTCAACTGGCAAACAATAACAAACACAAACAAACAAAATTTACCCCAACTGGCAAACAATAACAAACACAAACTTGGCAAATAAAGGAAATTAACAGCCTAACACACGACAAAGACAACATACAGGAAAGACTATGGCAAACAATAGCAAAGCAAACAAACCAAGACCACGGAAAAAAAAAATCACCCACAAATGGGATGGCAAACAGTGACAAACAATATTTAATAGATGAAAGTTATTTTTAAAACTACGGGACAATGATGGCAAACCACGACAAATACGATAAATCACGATAAAACCGCAAACTAGACAAAACCGACAAAACTACGACAAACCACGACAGCGACAAAACCGACAAACTACGCAAAACCACGACAAACTACGACAAAACCACGACAAACTACGACAAAACCGACAAACCACGTAAAACCCGACAAACACGGCAAAACCGACAAACTACGACCAAAACACGACAAACTACGAAAACCGACAAACCACGACAAAACTACGACAAATGTACCACGACAAACTACGACAAAAACCTCGACAAACTACGACAAAACCTCGACAAACTAGACAAAACCACGACAAACTACCAAAACCGACAAACTACTACAAAACGACGACAAACTTCGACAAACCACGACAAAACCTCGACAAACTGACAAAACCTCGACAACTACGACAGACAAACTAGACAAACCTCGACAAACTACGACAAAACCTCGACAAACTACGACAAAACCTCGACAAACTTCAACAAAACTCGACAAACTACGAAAAACCGACAACCCGATAAACAGATGAAACGTAAAACCTCAACAAACATGACAAAACCTCGACAAACTACGACAAACGAAATCCAAAGCAGGATAATCAATCGAGTCAACAGTAAGCCGACAACTCACGCACACACAAACACTGAATGCTGAACAAACACATCACCTCAGCAATCTGTTTTAAACGGGCCTCGTCCTGCTGGTAGGTGGGGAAGAGGTGAGGTGGGGAGAGGAGTAGTGGGGAGAGATATGGGAGATGGAGGTGAAGGTATGTGGAGAGAGGGAGAGGTGGAGGAGGAGTGGGGAGGTATGGGAGATGGAGTGAAAGTGGGAGGGAGAGGGAGGTGGGAGGGAGAGGTGGGAGAGGGAGAGGTGGGAGGTGGGGGAGGGTATGGGAGGTGGGTGAGAAAGGTATGGGAGGGTGGGAGAGGTGGGGAGAGGGAGGTGGAGGTAATGGGAGGGTGGATATGTGTGGGATGGGAGGAGAGAATAGGTGTGGTGGGAGAGAGAGGAAAAGGAGAGTAAGTGGGTGATGGGAGAGAGGAAGAAGAGGTGGAGTTGATGAGAGAGAGAGAGTAAATTCGTTGATGCGGGTAAGCAGCACCACAACAAAGTTCAGTGTGCGCGTGTCATTGGTCAATCGGTGTGTTTATTTTGGCGGTGGCTGGTAATCACAGGACGAAAACTCTTTAGTCATCTGATCAAGGCGACTGTGTGTGTGTGTGTGTGTGTGTGTGTGTGTGTGTGTGTGTGTGTGTGTGTGTGTGTGTGTTTTCTCTCGGTCAGACAGTCGTAGTCAGCTGTTGTGTGTTCAGGGTAATTGGTTCCGTGTTTGAGACTGTTTTGAACGTGTTTTGTGTGGTAGGTTGTTAGTAGGGCGGGAATCCTGGGTATTAAACAATGATATATTAACTATCTTGTTCTTGCACACACACACACAACCTGAACCTACACACACACACACGCACACACCACAGACGATCAGGAAAAAAAAACAAAACTTAGGAAAATATTACTAAACCAAATATAATTTTAATAATAATAATAATAATAAAATAATTTAATAATAATAATAATAATAATAATAATAATAATAATATTAAAAATATGTATTCCTTCCTTAAATTAAAAAAAAAATAGATACACACACCTCTGCCCATTTAATATCCCCACGCCATTGTATTCAGGGGTAACAATTGTGGCAATTTTACCGTGTTATGGTCGTTTGTCTATAAACACGGGTCGTTAAACAAAGTACAGTTAAACCTTGTTAGTTCTGGTTAAAAAGTCAAAGGTTCTGTTAGTTCAAAAATATATAACTGAGGTTTATTTAAAGTGAGTTGTGTTGCCTTAAACGCATAATAGGCTGTTAACTCTTATGGTGGGGTGGCTAATGTTCGTGAGTCACTAATATGAACGATTGATAGAGAGAACAGAATATATAGAGAATAATAATAAAATATATACCGTAAACTTGTTTGGTACCGCCTGGTCCCGAAGGCTTGACTTAGCACATACCGAATACATATAATTTACATTCAGGAAAAAAAAGCATTGTCCCGTCTCTCTCTCTCTCTCTCTCTCTCTCTCTCTCTCTCTCTCTCTCATAAGCATTGTCAACAAACTACTAATCCCATTTCAGTGGAAAATGTGAAGGACCAATCAGATGTCAGATTATCCTCGGAGTAACCTAATTGGTGGGTCTTTGTCAGTGTGTTGCTACTTTTTCCGTCCCATCTGGGAGGGAGGGGGGGGGGGTGGGCAGGTGGTTTCCCATGCAGTGGGTTAATGACCTTAGGGGAGGTGTGGTGGCGGAGGAGCACTGAAACACGTCTGGAATGTCGCCGGTTCGATCCAGGAGGAACCCCAGCCAACCAAATGGAGACGGTGTGTTCATGTGCTAGGCCAGATTGGTTGGGTTAGGGTTAGGTTAGGTTAGGTTAGGTTAGGTTGGTGGGTTGGTAGGTTGAGGGTTAGGTTAGATCAGCATTGGGTTGGGTTAGGTTTAGATCAGCATTGGTTGGGTTAAATTAACATTAACTCTAGTCAATCTAACATTAACCCCTCAATGGTGTGTTGGGTATTATTTATGATCAGGTGAAATAATTTTGGAGCGTCTAATCTTCAGGTGATCCATATTTCTGTTTTATTATTATTATAGTTTAAGTCCCCAGTATAATTATCTATATCATTATCGTCATCATCGTCATCATCGTCATCATAATCGTCATCGTCTGAGCTGCAAAAGAGTGAAAGAAGATTTTAGAATCATCTTGGTGTTTTGCCCTTCCTCCTCCCTCCTCCTCTACCTCCTCCCTCCCCCCTCTCCCCATGGTTGGTACTGCAGGGGTGTTTTAATTAACGTGACGAGTGTGTGTGTGTGTGTGTGTGTGTGTGTGTGTGTGTGTGTGTGTGTGTGTGTGTGTGTGTGTGTGTCC